AAAAATTTTACATAAGGGCGCTAGAGCAACATTGGAGAGGCAGGGATTGTCACCCTGATCACTTTTTCTTTCACAGCAAAATTGTAGAAGAGCCAATTCATGTAGCAATAAAACATTAACCACATCAGCCATTGCATAGTATACCTCTTTAGTGTGACGAAGTACACTGTTTTTGAATGCAGTTTCTGTTTTAATCTGCTCTTTGGTCAGCCGTATATAGTCCCTGCACCTGTGAGGTTTTATGTCCATCTTGGAATAGACTTTTCCTTCAATAGTATTAAAAAGCATTTCCATTGATCTTGGTAAGATGCCTGCATCATATTGTGTACCTGTAATAAAAGAGGATGTGTTACAAGATCTCATACAAACCTGGAAGACCTAAAATCAGGAGAAGTGGCCCAAAAGCAGAGATGGGAGAAATGTTGCACATAAATATCCATATGATGGTCTGGTATTTGTTTTTAGCACCTAGACATAAACAAGAACTTAACTCATTGTGGGAGTAGCCCCACTGCAAGGGTTAATTGTTTTTCTTGGAGCTCCTTTTTAAAAAGGCAGACTATTCATTTTAAATGGAGTGCCAAAAGACCTAAACATGCCACAAATAGCACCTGCCCTTTTTGGGGGAAAAAAAAAGCCGAGATATCAATGCCTATGTTGTGAACTTTGAAAACAAAACAAATTCTCTCAAATCCCTATAGATACAAAAAGGTGAATATGAGCTTATCTTTAAATGCTTTGACTGACTGTTTAGAATCATCTGGGCACAGGTTTACTTAAGGGATGCACTGTGTGCAGAGCAGGACGCATGGGAAGGCTACACTGGGATCACCTGTGATTGCAAGATGCTCCACCCCTCGTACTTAGAATTAGACATGGGTCCTCAATAGTGGTAAGAAACCAATGTGAGAGACTAGGCCTCAGTACCCATAGAACCTGGGCAGCTGGATAGTGACTCAAGAGCAGCTGGTCAAGCAAGCCAAAGTACAGGCAGACAGCAGGAACCAAATGGAGGTCTGTGTCTAACATGACTCTACTAAGCAGGAACAGCAGCAAAGAGATGTTTCCACGTTGCTTGCTGGAAGGGAAGAGGATGCAGAGTGTGTGTGACACTCTACCTAGCTCGGTTATGCTGGCACCCTCCTTCAGCTTGGCCAACTCACACAGAAAGGGAGTCTTCAGAAAAAGGGTCAAGTGATAGCATTTCAAGGCTTTATATATATATAAAAAAAATTTTTTCAAACACCTTGGAGTGAGAGACCAGAGCTCAGGCTGGAAAGCACTCCAAAAGAGGACCCAGCACCCAAAGGCTGCAGATCCTCAAATTAGTGTCGCTTCCTTCAGGAGGATGGCTACATTTGTTCCCCATGGTCCCAGTGTGTGTTGTAAAGTAGCCACAAGCTTGCTCCTATGGTGGACTACAATCTCAAGTTTAGTTTATGAATTTGTATTGAGATTGTAGTCCATCACTAGAGTGGGCTTGGAGCGGTGGCTACTTTACAACATACACAGGGACCATGGGGAACAAAAGTAACCACCCTCCAGAAGGAAGGACAGTGTCAGCACCAATTCAGAGATGATTTGAGGATCTACAGCCAAAATGATACACCGATAAGATATATTTTTATTTTTTATTTTTGTTAATAGTTAAAGTACTTGAATGTATTTTTAATATTAACTCCCGAGTTAAATGTCACTTTAAGGAAAGGGTGTTACACTGAAGGCTGGCCTACAGTTTTTTTAAACGCCAGTGACTAGTTGTCCTGTAGGCATTAAAGCCCAGTTGCTCAAAAATCCTGTGCCACTCAATGCACAGGGCATACATATTGTTTTGTTAAAAGCAATCCTGTTGTGAGCTACTGTATATTATCAGTATATTATTTGGTGGCAAAAAGCCTACATCAATGCAACGCATACCACACCAGTACACATCTGGGGAAAAACTATAAACTAGCCCTCAAGATGTCTTTTTGGATCAGTTTGAAACTTTTAAAACAAAATGCAAAATAATTGTTGTCGTAGGTTTACAGAACATTAGAAACAAACTGTGATGCGACATAAAAAAACCAAAAAAAACACACACACGATGGAGATCCATAGTTCAGTCTTGCTATTAACATCCCACAGTTGAATCATTTAGAAGGCTGATCCTGTATTGTTGTTGTGCTCCAGAAGAAACAGTTTTAAGTAATTTTAGAAGTGATGTCTCATTTCACAGCTCAGCTTGAAGATGAATTACCTTGTTTGATCTAACAAGTTGCACCTGAGCTACTCCTAATGCAAAAAGCAACTGTGAAGTTAAAATAAAAAAATTTAAAAAACCACACAAGAACAGAAAAAGAACGGAGGGTGAAAACAGCTTGAAGGGCAACTGAAGGCATCTTAATGGAACCAAGCATCTGTTGACTGCAAGTACTTAAACTGAATCGGTCCTCAAAATTTAGTTTTGGAAATCACCATATATATGTTAAAGAAATTGTACGTTAGTACAGTTGTCCTTTAATCGAATCCCCCAATACCGAGGGCAGCCAACAAAGAGAAATACTTACCTTCCTCCTCAATCCAGCACAATTATAAAAAAAAGGTACAGTTGCCTTTTACAGCTTAATTCCAGGCATACATAAACTATTAAAATCAAAAGAATTTTAAGCTATTTCAAATGCTGAGGAAATCACTTACAATGGATGCTGCTCCTTGATGTTTAAAAGTTTTAGTTTCTTGCAGAATCAGCGGATCCCCTGAACACTGGTCCTGACTTCCTGTTTTAGAGTGACTCCTTTCTCAAGCAGAGTGCTATGCAGTCACCCTTGTGTGCATCTCCACAAACACAGCAAATCAAGCTACTTCCCCCTGGCCCCCTTTCCTCCCTCATCCCATCTCCAAGCTAGTAGATGAACAGTTGCTGGAGTCTGCTTGGTCCCTTGTGATCTTGTACTGGACAGAAAGTTCAGTAGAGCGAAGAGACTTGGAAGCAGCTGTTCAGAAACATGGAGGACTGTAATTTTGGGGCAAAAATGTAAAGACATGCTTTGCTGGGCAATAGATGTGTTTGATCTGGATTCAATACTATTTTAAAGCTGCAATCCAGACAGAAAATATCAATACTCTCCATCCCCCCTAACTGATGCACAAAATAATGAATTACAAAAGAATATTCACTTTTAACCAGAGTGCCCCAGTCTATCACCAGTTCCAGCTGTGACTACTGAATCCCCAAAGCTGCACTTCTCGTTTGTCTTGTATTTGCCCCCCCTCAGCACTTACAATGCAGAACCAGAATTGCGAGAAGGCACATCTACAGGTGGCCACGTTCCATCCTAATGATGTGACAGCTGGTCCTGCACTGCATGTGATGACATTAGCAAAAGGGTCTTTAGGAACCAGTCATCGCAACCAAAACCGGCAGGAAGAAGGAGAGCATAGGACTGTGAATTAAAGGAGAACTATGGGGTCAGTGTTTTTCCCCATAGTTCTCCTTGGGGTAACGGGAGGACACAAACTAGCGTCCTCCCGTTACCCTAAGCTCAGTATACCGCGAGCTACAGCTCGCGGTATACTGAGACGCCGCACCTGGAGCGGATCCCGACTTAGATGACGGGATCCGCCCAGCTGCGTGAGTGACAGCTGGCTCTGCCTATCTAGAGGCAGAGCCAGCTGTACCCGCCCCCTCCCGTTCCGCCAGGGGAGAGGGGAATCCAGCCGTGACAGGGTCGAGAGGTGAGGGAACCGGTATGTGTTCTCTCACCTCCCGATCTACTGAGCCGACCTGTGACAGTCTCATTGTCACAGGTCGGCTTAGAACTATGAGGTGAGTGGAAATCACTCATGTCATAGTTCTCCTTTAAGGCAAGCATATCCAATCCCCAACCCAACCCTTAAGCCAGCTTTAAATCAACCTGGATAACATGGAGGAACTCTTTAATAACTTTTAAGTCTTTGAGAACCGTGGCCAATACTACTACTTACAGTTCATTAGCATGAACAGTAAATGAAAGAATAATGAAGGTAGCATATGAAGTATAATTAAAATCCAAAGCTTCACTATATGACAAAAAGCTATAAATTACATTAAAAAGAATATTATAAGAAAAGCATGCCGTACACTGGTGATCAGTGGAGAAATGCCCATTTACATTGATGGTCACTGAAATTGCTTCCCTTACAGACAGCTAAAAAGATAACTGGTGTCAGTGGTTATTCATCAGAGAGCCAGAAATTGGTCATTGCACACGGAACCCCCATGAACCTTTGGAGGAACCACAGAATTCCACTAAACCCCGATTAAGAAAGGATGCAGTCACTGTTCAGCCAATAATTTTGCACTGGGCTCAGCCGATTTTTAAACCCAACTTTTGTTGAGTCAGTTGGTGCTGACAGGACCACACGCTGCTCAAATTGCAGCCAATTCCTGCTCAATCTGCTGAAATTCAGAGTTAGGACTTACCGGTAACTCTATTTCCATTAAGTCTTCCAGGACAGCATCACGAATGAGGAGAGTAGGGTCTTTTAAGCAAATTAAGTGACGTGTTTCCTGTGTGTGGGGGAGGAGATTCCATCTCGTGATGCTGTCCTGGAAGACGTTATGGGAAATTTGTGCTGTCTATGGACAGCTTCAGACAACAGATACTTCATACACTTGGGGAAGGGAGGAGAGGGAGATTACTTTCATTTTTTTTTTTGCCTGCACAGAGTTGAGCTTTAAAAATGATTTACACATAAATGTTATTTGCAAAAAAGTCTACATACTGCCTTGGCAACTTCAGCGGTGGTGAAACTACAAATCCCATTATGCCTCTGAGTTATACCTGTGGCTGTCAAGAGTCCTGCAACACCTCAAGAGACTTGTAGTTCCACAGTTGCCTACCCCTGCTTAGACATAGCATTTTTCACACAAAAAGAAGTGTAACACATTAAGGTTGATTTAAAAAAAAAAAAAAAAAAACAATTGTTCCATACACATGAATAGTACAGTGGCAATTACTGCATCAAACATGCTACCATGCAGTTTTCACATACTAAAACGAAACATTTTCTGGTCCTGAGAACACAGACATAAGAATTGGTGGCCATACAGTGGCATCTAGTGGTGACACAACGTAAGTGACAAAATGTATATACGTACAACCAGGCATCATTGGGTAAAGAATGCCAAACACAGAAATCATATCTGACAACTCACATGCTAAGCGAATGTCACAAAATATAGCAGATAACAGAGGATTACCTTGGAAGGTAAAGGTTTTTCCAGCATTGGTAACACCATAAGTAAAAATCAGTCGATTATGACCTTTCATAAAATCAAGCACTTGTTTTTTAAGGGTACCATCAAAAAACTGACTCTGTGTGGTCTCAGGGCCGAATACCTGTTTGAAAAAAAAACAAAAATGCAAAATTAAGACAAAGAATTTGATTAGGACACACGCATGCGCATTGCATAGTGTCTGGCTATTGGCAGTCAAACAAAGAACATTTTAAGAATAGCAAAACAGAAAAAAATATAGTCACCAGCACTCCAGCTCCAATTTACTAATACACAAACACAAAAATAAAAAAAAACACTGTGCGCACTCAAACTGCCAAAATAACTATATGCCTGTTCTTACTGCTCGCCTATTCCCAATGACCCCCTCAAGTTTATTAAAACTGGAGCAGATATGCACTGCAACCAATCATCTTCTCTGTCTCATTTTCAAATCTTACCTGAGCAAAGTGAAGAGAGATGCTAATTGGTTGCCATGGGCAACTGCTCCAGATTCTGGTTGCTCTAGTTTTGATAAATTCCACTCGGAGTGTCTATGTGTTTGAAATTCTCATGTAAACTGGAATGTGTCTGCCCATTTACACATTCCTATAGGCCACTGATGCAGCCCACAACAAAGTGACAAGCCAAAAGGAATGTATTGTTGGGGGAAAGTTGACACAACCGGGAAGTGCTTGACCACTTAAGCCCCTGTGTGAGTGGGGCCTTATGCTGCACCTGGGGCTTCCTGTTGTAAGAACCTGGGATTCTTGTGACAGCAATCTCAGGTGTGGCCATTCAGTTGCAAGCACTGTACCCATTCAAGTTAAATGACAATGACCCAATTTGTCAGCAGCAGTCGTATATGGTACGATTAACATGGGGTTCAGGATAGATGATTGTCCCTGGACACAGCATAGATGCGTCGAGGGACAATCATCTATCCCAAACTGCATGTATTCGTACTATGCACAATTGCATGTGGACTTCTGCTGACAGATGCAGTGGCTGTCGTCCTGTCATTAACTGGAATGGGTACAATGGCCGCATCTCAATGGGCACACCCAAGATTGAATGCAGCCTTATACAGTACTAGTTGGCAGCTTGTTTGTTTTTTGTCAAAGCAAGAGAAACAAGTAAAAAGACAAAACAAGCAATAACTGTTTACAGTGAAGTCATAGAAACATTTATGATTTTAGTTTACCATACAATAACAGCTCTGTCACCCAAAGCTCAGTATACTGAGACGCCGCAGCCGGGACGGATCCCGACACTGTCTGGATCCACCCAGCTGCGTGAGTGACAGCTGGCTCTGCCTATCTAGAGGCTGAGCCAGCTGTACCCGCCCCATCCGTTCCGCCAGTCAGCGCTGGAGGATCGGACAGGGGAGGGGGGGGGTCCCTGCAGGGAGCCGTGAGTGACAGTCACTGCTCCCTGAAGGGACAGGTTTGAGAAGTGAGCGAGCGCCGCTATGTGTTCACTCACTTCCCGATCTATTGAGCTGACCTGTGACAGTTCCATTGTTACAGGTCGGCTAGAACTATGAAGATGAGCGATTTTCACTCGCCTCATAGTTCTCCTTTAGTCCAATATGCACATTGCTATTGTCAACAGAACATACAACAGGCTGACAGCGTGAACGTCATCCAATTCTTACATTAGTAAAGGTGAACTTCTGAGCCACTGTACTACCGCCTTTCTCGCTTAGCCGACTAGCCTGTGAATGATGTGGTGCCTTCACTAGGACACTGCAGGCATCGGGGATGCTGACGCAATCCTTAAAATAAATAAAAAAATTATATAGACAACCATACATTATGTTACAACATAAAGAATACAGGCATCGGTCTCTTTTAAAGAAAATATGGGGGCTGCTATTGCGGACCTCTCCCGACTGTCTTACTGATCCAGAGGTTACGGTACCTTCCGATTCATTTCAATGTCTATGCAGATCTGACTTCACTCTGTTTTTTGCTTCTTCAGTAATAGCAATTTCAGGAGACTTGTTTCAGAAGGTGATAAGCAGTGGCTGCCTCTGTATTTCTCTCAATACATGATTCATTTAAAGCCCAACTACAGGGAAATGAATAGATTTCCCTTTCAGTGGGGCTTCCCCGGCACTGCAAGGGTCAACTTCTTGTTTATACTTAGGGGCCAGGAACAATTTGTTTCACTTACCCGATCCCCACTGACTCAGAAGTCAGCGATCTCCCCTTTTCCTCCCTCTGCTCTGACTGTGGGCTCTCTCAGCATCCCCACGTGCAATGCAGGGCTATTGAGCCTGCATTGTAGTTGATGTCAGCAGTCCTTAGACCACAGATCAAAGGGGATTAGGCAAAAGCTTTTTTTCTGTTGCGTAGGCATAAACAAGTGCAGGGGTAGTTCCACTGCAAGGAAAAACTTTTAATTTCCTCAGAGTTCGGCTTTAAGCAAGTTTAGCTGTGCATTGCATCACTCACCTGTGACTCATTTTGCTCAACTTCAGATGCAGTAAATGGTCGCACACGAAGATATACATGCATATGTTCTTTAGGCTCTGCAGCGCTTTTCTGAAAAGAAAGGAGAACTTACATTCTAGGACACCCTCAAAACAAATGTAATAACAGCCGGTTTGTATTCTGCATATGTTCCCACAGTGTAAGTATGTTTCCTACAGGCAGTCTCTTTCCACATCCCCCCTTCAGAAAGTGCATACTGGTAGGTAAAGGATAAGCCCATCCAACACTGCCCAATTAGATGTGGCCGGTTTAGTTACACATCAGTCTCATGCGTTTCCAAAATGTCCTGGCAAGAACAGATTTTGCCTGGTGCAGAAGTTACGGCACCAGATTTGCCAAAGAAATACGTGGATACACAAGTAGAGGCTGAGAGACTATTAATCATCAGCAAGATAGGGAATGCCTGGCAACAAAAGGAAGATATTCTGAGACCTAGGAGCAAGCCAAAGTCCATCAAAAAATGTACACATACCATCAGTTTTCATTTTAAAGAAAACCTGAACTGGACGAAAACCATTTTAAAAATAGTAGTGCTGAAGTGCAAGCACCTTGTGAGGCCTGAAAGTATTTGTATACAGAGCCCAGAAGCAAGTCAAAAGCAGCATGCTGTTGAGTTTCTTTGACTCACGTCTAACTTGCTGTGATCCGTCATTAATTCACTTCTGAGGTGGTGAAAATTAGCCTATCAGATGCACTGAGCTGCATAACGCCGCTTTTGCAAATCACAGTGACTTTTACGAAGCAAGTAATTCAGAGGCAGAAAAAATGTCTATGTACACGTTTCCTTTCACTGTCTTGCAGGAAAATCAGAGGAATTCTTGTCTTGTGTTTGGGCTGTGCTGGAAAAAATGCATATGGTGTGAATGGGCACTAAGACAGTTGGCATCGGAACATTTGTCCCCATTGGATGATTTATTCTTCTTTGGATTTTTTTCTCACTTTCAAACTCAGTAATAGTAGTCAGCAGGAGAAATGGACAATAAATATTCACTGCAGGGACAGAGATTGCAATAGAAACCTAACAGGGGTACTAACCCTTCACAACTCTAAAAAACGGAGGAAAAAAAAATGTGGCGTCTTTACATTAATGACTTCGCCCATTTAGAGCAAAGAGACAACCCCCCATCCGGACCTACTTCTACTCACCTCTGCAGCACTCCTTTCACAGGTCACAGCAACCGCAACATTAGCGGTTTGTGTCAGGAGCTTAAAAAAGGAGAATTATGGGGTTAGGGCTTTTCCCATATTTCTCCTAAGCGTCACCCTAAGCTCAGTATACCGCGAGCTACAGCTCGCGGTATACCGAGACGCCGCAGCTGAAACGGATCCCAACAATTATGTCTGGATCCACCCAGCTGCGTGAGTGACAGCTGGCTCTGCCTATGGTGAGGCAGAGCCAGCTGTACCCACACCCTCCCCCGTCCGTTTCGCCAGTCAGCGCTGCAGGATCGGAGCGGGGAGGGGGAATCCAGTCCCTCCCGTTACAGCTCTCTGCCGTGACAGGATCGAGAATGCCGGTATGTGATCGCTCACTTCCCGATCTACTGAGCCGACCTGTGACAGTCTCATTGTCACAGGTCGGCTAGAACTATGAGGATGAGTGAAAAGCACTCACCTCATAGTTCTCCTTTAACACAGGGTTTAGTCACCTCCCTCTTTCATGTGACAGTGTTCGGTCCAGGTAACTAGTTATTTCCTGGCAACTCGAGGCAAGGGACTGCATCATGTGATTAGGTCACACGCTTACCTATGCCTAGAAGCACTGGGAATTTTTGGGTGGTTGCAGAGAGAAAGGAGCAGCGGGGGGGGCATTGCTAAGCAAAGGGTTAAAGGGTGGAAGGGTGGCCTACCAAGAGATTGTCACCATCACCCTGAAAAGGCAAAGTGACAATCTTCTTACATATAGAATAGATCTCCTTCAACCAAACAGCGACTCAGAGTAAAAAAGGCTTTTGACTTTCTTCTACAAAATGATGAGTGCAAGGCATTCTATAAAACATGTGATCCGTTTCTGTCTCACCCGGGTAGTGTCAGATTCAGCATCCCCAAACAATGAAAACCTCTCAGACAGATTTGTTCTGATGTCATCAGTCTCTTGTGGTTCATCCCTTTCTGGTAAAGTTATTCCCACTCCAAGATAGGATGGCCTTGAATGAGCATGTTCATCTTCGCTTGGCTTCATACTTTCTAAACATAAGAGGAAGGAAAAGAAAGCATTATTGTAGGAAAAAAAAATGACTGAAGAATAAAAACCAAAGAGCACCATATGCCCCAACATTTAGCACCACACTGCACAAACAGGCCGACAGTAACACAGCAAAAACTACATCAGCTTCAAAATCTTGGTATGTTTCTTGACCATTATCAGATGACAGTCTGATGGACTTCCATACAGTGTAACAAGGGGAGACGTCAGTGCAAACTTTGATTTAAGCAGGCCCTATGGGCACGGGCAAAGCAATTCACCTCCATATAAATTGGCTCAGTTCACATCAGCATGTTGCACCACTACATCCCGTGCTTTATTTTCCCAGTGCAGTGTGATGTACCACGGTACAACCGCATCTCTCCACGCTGTGGCCAGTAAAACTTGATGAACTGTCTTGTGTAACATTTCAATTCAAATTATATTAAAGTCCAAAGGTTTTAAGCCATTTTAAATGCTGATGAAATCACTTAGAATGGATGCTGCTCCTTGATGTTTAAACGTTTTAGTTTCCTGCAGAATCAGCTGACCCCCCTGAGCACTGGCACTAATATCCTGTTTTAGGGTGGCTGCTTACCCTTACAGGGTCCTATGGAGCCAGCCTTGTGTGTGCTAGTAAGCCGTGTGTGTCTCCACAAACACAGCAAGTAACTCATATTATTCCTACCCCTCCTTCCTCTCTTCAAGCTAATGGGTGAACAGTTGCTGGACATAGCGCTCTTCCTTGGGATATTGTACCGGTAAAGATGTTTAGGGAAGCTGAGCTGAGAGAGTTGTAGCCAGATTTTTGAAAACATGATGACTAAGTGTTGGGGCAAAGATTTAAAGAAGTACTTTGTTGGGCAATGTATATTTGTTTGATATTGATTCATTATTGGAAAAAGTTTGAGTTTAATACAAATTTATTTCTGTTATTCATATAGCACTGACAATTTACGCAGCGCTTGTCATACAGTACTAAGGAGGTACGGATAAATACTAGTATCGTTATTGGTGACGATACTGAGTATTTGGGAGAGTACAAATGCTCAGATACCTTCTGCAATACCAAAGGTTACAATAATGGCTCACCGCCCAGATTCCTGATTTGGTTGGGAAGCCAGCTCCAAGCTGTTTGGTCAAACATCCAGCTTGATGCGGATTGGCTTGGAAGTCAGCTTCCTGGGCAATCAAGAAGCCGGGCGGTGGGTAATAACACACCGCCCAGCTTCCCGATTGCCTGGGAAGCCGGCTCCATGCTAGCGAAGTACCGGCGTCGGTAAGTACAAAAAGATAAATATTGGCACTCTTACTCGATACAGAAAAAAACTATATCGGTGCATCCCTATAAAGAACATTCACATCTGTCCATGCCCTTAAGGAGCTTACAATCCAAGGACCCCATCTCACATGCATACACACAGAGCTAATTTAGACAGGAGCCAATTAACCTTCCAGCATGTCTTTGGAGTGTGGGAGGAAACCCACGCAAGCACAGGGAGAACATGCAAACTCCATGCAGATAGTGTCCTCACTTGGAAAGGAACCAGGTACCCTCAGCAGCTGTGCGTTCAGCGTTGCTTGTGAACGGACCCTCAGTGGTCTTCTATTTTCATTTCATGGCTCTAAACACAAACACAGGTTTGCTGATCTTTATGGCTTGTTCACACTACGTGTGGTGACTGGTATTTTTCTGCACCTGATGAATAGCAATCGCTGCCACACAGAAAACAAACTGTTGTCTATGTGCCCTGTATACACCACAACGCTGCCTTCTGGTGGGTTGCAGGAACAACACTGACATGCTGTATATTTTCACAATGCCCCCGAGCTCACCTGATATCAGCGCAGGTCAGATTTGAATGAAATGTCACTGACATTTCAATAGTTTTATTTTCTTCTTTCCAAAAAGTAAACAGTGCCTTGCCCAATGCGCCACATGACTCCACCCCAACGCTGGCAGAGAATAGACGCCATCCTATTTCATATTAGCATGCAACATGTCAACTTACCATTGCATCAGCCTATTTAAAAAAAAAAAAAACCACCACAACACACTTATGATCAGATCTATGAAATAAATAAAAAAAAAAACAAAAAAAACCTGTATAGAGAATGCCGCATTGTTTTACACAGCCATATACAAGAGCCTGAACTGTAACAGTGCAATGCACAGAATAATAGTATGTCCTGGTCACAGGAACATCTGTTATTGTTCTATCATATAAATATTTACCGATCTGTATCCTCCATACACACAATACAAAACACTCTGACATCCCACTGAGCCCAGGACTGTGCTGATACCTGCAGGATCCCAATACAGAGTTAGGATTTAACCCTTAAAGGAGACTGTCATCCCGGGCAAGCTGGGACCTGTAGTCCTACCGACACAGCTATTCACATACTATCCCACTCAGCTACTAGAAAAGCACAGAGAGCTGACCTCACCGCTGTACTCAGGCGGATACCCAGAAAAGGACGAAGCGCTCAGTCTCCCCGGTACCGCCGGCCAACATTCACCCGCCGCCGTCTCTTTTTAAATTCGTCCAATCCAGAGCCGTCGACCGAACTGCATTGTGGGAAAAAGCGTCACAGCTCGCAGCATACGCCTTGTCCTTGTTTCTGCACATGCGCACTAGGTAAGAAACCATTCAATGCAGAGATCTTGGCCGCGAGCGGGCGGTCCCAGCACATGGAGGAACACGCCGATAAACACCTCCCACATTATCAATCATTACACCAGAAACGCCCAGACTCCTCCCACCTCTCTGCTAAGCTGTTCTTTTTTCAGCTTCCCTATTCGCCTATTTCTCAAAAGCCACGCCTACTGGTTGGATTGGATTGATGCTCGCCAATTAGCGCAATTGGCGTTCTCCACGGCGTCTGCTCTCATCTGCTTTACCCCTCTAACGGGAATGACGGTGGAACGGTTAGAGGAGGGGGTTGATAGAGCGGATGGGGGATCGGATCAGCGGTGTGAAGGGGAAGACCCTTCCTCTTGAGGACATGAGGTGGTGGAGTTAACGCTGTGTCGTTGCCCCCCCCCCCGAACCTTTGCTTATCCCTGTCACTGGGCTGCCAATCACAGGCCGCGACGCGCCCCACTGCCCCGTATCCTGGCCAATGGTAGAGGGCGCTGCAAGTGATTGACAGGAGCAGACACCAATGTTTCAGTCGGCAGGTTCAGTCTACACATAGGGGACCTGTGCTGAAGAGCTCATTCCATTTCACTGACTGCATTCCAGCCGCATGATCCTGTACCACGTGAGCCATCTATGGGGTTTGCCATTTGAAGAGCTCCTGTCACTGTTTCATTGTATGGGTTTTGCTTCAAGGGATCATTCATTTTTGTCCATGGCCACCCTCCAAGCACTTCTACTTACCTTCACAGCGATCCCGTGCCACTCCTTCTTACATTGCAACCATTGCAAAATACCTGGCGTAGTGGGAGCTAGAATATCGCCACCTCCAACATGGCATTATGTTTGCCCACTATGCCAGAGCACAGGAGGATGTCATATACCCATTTTGAGGGTTTGTAGAAGTGATCGGACTCATCTGGCAGTCTATGACATTTATGATGTGCGGGACAAATCCTTTGCTGTCAAAGGGTTCATGTGAGCTGTTAACTCTAAAAAAAAAACCTGTATGTAATATCTGTATAAATCATATTAAAGTGAAAAAGTTTTTACACTATACCAAATGCTAGTGAAATTACTTACAATGGATGCTGCTCCTTGATGTTTAAAAGTGTTAGTTTCCTGCGGAATCAGCTGGTCCTCTGAGCACTGGTCCTGATGTCCTGTTTTAGGGTGGCTCCTTGCCCTTGCAGGGTCCTATGGAGCCACCCTTGCATGTGCTAGTAAGCTGTGTGTGTCTCCACAAACACATGGCAAGACACTTCCCTGCTCCCCACTTCTTCCAGCTAGTAGATGGACAGCTGCTGGAGACCGCTCTGTCCCTTATGATCTTGTACTGGACGGGAAGTGGAGATGAGATAGCTGGAGCCAGCTATTTAGAAACATGATGACTGTAAAACAGTAAAAACAATAACAAAAATGCCACTATAGCTGCTACATAGAAATCAGAAGAATACACTCAATAAAAACAATGCTATGAACAACCACAATGCTGTGCTCAGATATATACCCCCAAATATACAATGATGACCCCTACATACAGTATCTGCCCATCGTCCCATAGCCTCTAGAAAGGTGAGTCTGTGATTTGTAGTTAAAACACACAAGCAAAACTAATGAATAAACTCTAAATGGATCCAAAAGACTTTCTACTCAACTGTGTATCTTCATATCCTCATGTGTAGTTTAAACCGTCCACCTCAAATTGAAAAAGCAGTCACTATCCTCATTGGCTTTCTGTTACAGAAAGGTAAACGCAACCTTGGTATATCTCCATGGCCAGAACTCCCCAGCAAGCATACTAGAACTGAAGCCATATATTTTGTTTTGGAAACAGTAAAGGAGGGTTAGAACTAGGGAAAAACTAACTAGAAAAAAAAGGAGGAAGAAGCGCGACGACCTAGCGCAGATAAAAGATGGTAGAGCACTAGGTCGTCGCGCTTCTTCCTCCTTTTTGTTTCCTCTCTAGTACAAACGTCGGACATGACGCACACACTGGGAGCATCACACCAGCGTTGAAACCAATCCAACACCCCCCCCCCCGCAGAGCGCTCACCAACTGGACCTGTCCTTCACAACTTTTTACATATAACTAGGCATGCACCGTTACTAGTATCGGAGCCGATACCGAGTATTTGGGCAACAAATGCTCCCAAAACTTATCCCGATACCGGAACTTCCAGTATCAGCAGCCAGGCGGCGAGTCATTACACGCTGCCCGGCTTCCTGATTGGCCAGGAGGTCGGCTCCGTGCTTCCTCGTCACCGGCTTTCTTAATGGGATTCCCGGTATCGGTATTCAGTATCGGCGAGTACCGGAAAAAAATATCAGTACTCGTACTGGACACTGAAAAAC